AGCCTGGATGAGGGGATGATGGCTGTTTGCAGCTGGTCACACCCCCTTCAGGGTGGGGGTCCCCACTTGGGTGCCTGGCCAGTCTGGGTGAGGGGCTGAGGGCCGTTTTCAGGCTGGTGGGTGACTGAAGCTCCCAACCTCTCCTTTCTCTCTCTGTTTTTTTTATTCTGGGATTTATTTACCTTCTATGGCTGTCACTGAAGCTGAGAGCTGGCTTTAGCTCTGAGGCTCGGCTCCAGCTCTGAGACCTCGGCTGCTGAAAGCAGGTTTCTGGGGATTGTTTAGCTTCTATAATTGCAACATAGTTGCTTAGAGTGCAGCTCAGAGCTGGGCGGCAGCAGGCGGGGAACCTTGGCTTCCTCCGTCACTGGAGCAAGCAAGCCTCCTGTTCACTTCAGCTGCCTGGCTGCTGGCTGCCATCTTGGTTGGCAGTTAATTTGCATATCTCCCTGATTAGCCAATGGTAAGCGTGTTGGAGGTACGGTTAATTACCATGTTTGTCTATTATTAGATAGGAAGGATTACATTCTTATGAATGAGCCATTGTGAGCCAGTTTTAGCCCTACATATTTGATCACAGAATCCTTTCATTGTGCAATGGACACAGTTGGTCCCTACCCACATCCTTTTTTTCCCCTCTCCCTTCCTCCTAAGAGAAAGTCTCAGGGTAAGATGATCCCTCTTACTCTTCTTGATGTTGTTGTGCCTGGAATGGTGGCTGCCATCTTGTTGCAGGAGAATAATAACATAGCTCCAATGTCTCCATCACCCAGCTTCAACAATTGCTACCCATACCCACACCTGCCCCCACCTTGGGTTATTTTGAAGCAAATTCCAATCATCCTATTATTTCCTACATAGATTTCAGCATGTATCTTTAAAGATTAGGACTTTAAAAAACCTAATCCAATTCTATTATCACACCCACCCAACCCCCCTAAATAATTCCTTTTCATTGCATATCTACAACTATTGAGTTCTTATTTGCCTCACAATGTATTTAAGAACATAAATTCTCCTCATATCTCATTAAGACTAGTGCCTGCTGGGAGAAATAATTACTCTTTAGCATTCAATAATCATCTGTGCTTGGATCATAAGTGTTAGTACTGTTTGAAAGGTTAACTGAGCCCAAATCCCTCCTGTAAAATGCATAGTCAGATGGGCTTGGATTAGAGTATTTTCAGTTACGTACTCCATTACTGTGGGCAGTAACTAAACTCTCTACATTTCAGTTTTCACAACTATTTAAAAATATTAGATTAGAGAGGATCCAGGAACCTGGATTTTGGAAATGTGAGGCAGAGGGATTGCATTCTGCTCCCCAGAAAACATATCCCTTTCCACTGCCCACCTTATCACCCTTCCCCATTCATTCAGAGCCTAAACATAGGAGTCAAAAAGTCTTCAGCACTGTCATATGTTTCCAATCAGCTCATGATTGCAGGTAGGAGCTCAATATTGGTGATAAATATACTTTATGAGTGTTTTTTGTGATTATTTTTTAAAAGACTGTTCCAATAAATAATTTACTGGGGCAGATGGAGGAAGCGACTCTGATTACATCTTGAAGCACCAAAATTTGAAGTTTAAGGAACTTAGGCAGTTCACAGCTATTTAAAAACATTTTGGAAGGGATAATTCTTCCACACTGCATTTTTTTTTTTAAAGGTTACAGCTCAGCGGCTGGTCTCTTGGGTGGTGCCCTTCTCTCATCTCTCTCCTGGATGCCATTCTAAAATTAGCATCATCATCACATGATTTTGGACTGCTTGGTACATAGCACATAGCTCTTCACTGTCTGCCCCCTCCCACTTGTTAGTTTTTTATTTTGAGGTATAATTGATGTAATATTATATTAGCTTCAGGTAGACAACATGATGTTTTATATTTGTATATATTGCAAAATGATCACCACAATAAGTTGAGCTAATATTCATCACCATACATAGTTAAAAATATCTTTTCTTGTGATGAGAACTTTCAAGATACACTCTCATAGCTACTTTCAAATAGTCAATGCAATGTTACTAATTATAGACCATGTTGTACATTATATCCCCATGATTTATTCACTTTACAACTAAAAGTTTTACCTTTTTTACCTCCTTCATCCATTTTGCCCACCTCCCATTCCTGTCTCAGGCAACCACCAATCTGTTCTCTATATCCATGAGCCTGCTTTTGTTGTTGTTTGTTTTGTTTTGTTTAGATTCCACAGGTAAGTGAGATCATATGGCATTTACCTTTTTCTGTCTGACTTATTTCACTTAGCATATACATAGCTCATCTAAGCTTCTACTTCCTCATCTTTAAAATTGGAATAGCATAGCCCAGCCAGTGGTTGAGCATCAAACTATGAACCAGGAGGTCAGGGTTTGATTCCCCATTGGGGTTGGGGCACATGCCCAGGTTGGAGGCTCAATCTCCAGTGAGGGTGTGCAGGAGGCAGCTGATCAATGAATGATTCTTTCTCATCACTGATGTTTCTATCTCTCCCTCTCCCGATCTGAAATCAATAAAAATGTATTTCAAAAAATAAATCCTCAGAGCCTAGAATTGTGTCTGGCATTGAGTAAGCAATTGGTAAATAATGTTGAATACCTTACAGATGAAGAAACTGCAATTTAGAGAGAAAGTAACTTGCCCAAGGGCACTCAGGTAGATGTGTTGGAGCTTTGACTAGAACCACTGGGGGGAAAAAATAAACCTGATTTGTAGCATTTGTTAATTTCTGTAAGTATTTCCACTATGGCTGATTTCAAGCAACTACACTGATGTAAATCTATTTGTAAGTTTCCTGAAAATTTAACTATAGGCTCTTGCAAGCCTGTCTTGCAAGCTGGCTCCACCATAGCAAGAACTAGGACATAGTTCTAAAGGGTACACAATTCTAAAGGGCACACTCCCACCGTTTCTCTATCCTGACGCCCTGAACAAGGCAAAGTTCATACTTATAGCTAAGTAGGAGGAGAAAAGGCACTGAAATAACTCCGTTCAAAGCAGAGTGCATAGGTGATTCTTAACCTAATCATAAAACTCCTCTGTTTAAAATGTTTTAGTATCGTCCCAATGTTCTTAGCATGACATTCAGTTTCCTTATCATGACCCACAAGGCTCATTGAGAAAACTTCCTACTCTGTCAGGCACTGTACGAGGCTTTTTGTAATAGGGTTTAACGGTGAACATGACATAAATAACTCCTGCTCTCATGGACTCTGAGTCCAGTAAATAAGGCTGTCAATAAACAAATAATCAACCATTAAGTACAAATTACAAAAGCAGACATGTGCAGTAGAGGAGGTGCTAAGAAAGAAAATAATGAGGAGGGGTTGCTTACTCAGACTGAAGGTGAGTTGAGCTACTCTAAGAAAGTGACATTTGAGACCTGAAGAATGAGAAAGAATTGGATGAGGAGTGGGGCTAGAGGACTGACAGAAAAGGAGAGGATTTGGCACTTTGAGGAATAGAAATAATTTTTGTGTAATTGGAGACAGTGAAGATGGGCTGGGGAGGATGGTTATAAATATTGCTATGGTCTGAATATTTGTGTCCTCCCATAATTCATAAGTTGAATTTCTAGTTTTCAAGGTGATGGTATTAGGAAGCGGGGCTTTGAGGAGGTGATTAGGTCATAAGGTGGAGCCCTTATGAATGAGATTTGTGCTTTTATAAGAGGCAGGAGAAGGCTCCCTCACCTCCTTCTGCCATGGGAGGACACAGTTCCAAGGTACATTTAGGAACTACAAAGCATCTGCCAGCGCCTTGATTTTGAACTTCCTATCCTCCAGAACTGAGAAATAGATTTGTTGTTTATAAGCCACTCGGTGTATGATTCCCGCACTCTCCCTTCACCCCCCCCCCCCCCCCCAGCCTGAAAGACTAAGACAAATATAAACGCGAAGGACAGATGGCTAATGGCTAAGGGGAGTAAGGGATAGGCTTAACACCCTTTGAAGATAGAGACTAATTCAAGTCACAGGAGCTCAGATGCTCTCTTTGAGTTATTCTTTCCCAATGATGGGCAACTTTCTTCTACAGAAAACCTTTTTATGTTTCTTGGGTTTAAACAAGATCATCCAGTTTCCACCAGGTCTTGCATAAATGAATAAACAGAAGCCCAAAGAGGGAAATCTGATCACCAACAGTTTTTCAGCCAGTAATAGTTGTATGGCCTTGGGCAATATACTTTCTGAGCCAGCACTATTCAACAAAAACACAATGGGAGCAAGCCACAAAGAGAGCCACCTATGTCGTTTATATCTTCTACCAAACACATTTAAAAGGATAAAGAAACGTGTGAAATTAAGTTTATAATTTTACGACTCAAAATATCACTTCACTATGTAATCAATAGAAGACTTAAAATCCAGTGTGCATTTTATTTACCTTATGGCACATTTCAATTCAATCTAGCCATATTTCAAGTTCTCTTTTTTTTAAAAAAAATTTTCTAAATATATTTTTATTGATTTGAGAGAGGAAGAGATAGAAACATCAATGATGTGAGAAAACCATTGATCGGCTGCCTCCTTCATGTCCCATACTGGGGATTGAGCCTGCAACCCAGGAATGTGCCCTTGACCAGGAATCAAACCCGGGACCCGTCAATCCCCAGGCTGACCTCTATCCACTGAGCCAAACCCTCAAGTTCCCATTAGCAACGTGTGGTTGGTGGGTATAGAACTGGACAGTGCAGTTCTGTATCTTAGCTTCCTTATCTGTGAAATGAGGATAAAATTGCCTAGGTCACTGGAAGGAACGTGAGAAATCTGTTCCTGGGAAACCCCTCTATCCAGCCCTGCCCTTAGGAAGTGCGCAATGAATCTGGTTTCCTAAGGTCTTGTCTGTCATGGCACCGCCCTCCTCCGAGTCTCCGCCCCTTTCTCCGCCCCCTTCAGGCTCCGGGCGGAAGCAGAGTTGTCACACATGCAGCGCGCTTTACGGCAGCGCCGCCTTTAACCGCAGTGTGGCCGGCTCGTGCGTCTCGCACCCTTCACCTCATTGGCTCTGCGTCCCCGCTCACGGCGCTTTTCGGCAGTGTGGCTGCAGCGCCGCTGAAGGGGTCCGCGGCTGGGTTGCGAGTGGAGGCAAGGAACCAGAGTTAGCGGTGTTAGCTGCGCCTGGAAGCATGGACGTGGGCGAACTCCTCAGCTACCAGGTAGGAGGGGCGGGGGAGCTGGGGCGCCGTACCCTGATCCGAACGTGGGTGGCAGGTCGCAGGACCAGCGTCCCTTCATCTCACCTTTCCTCACCCCAAGTCCCGGGCCCGGGGCTCCTCACTTCTCATGCCACCGGGGCCCGAGCCTCTCATTTCACTTCGCTCCCTCTCGAGACCCTCCTGTGCTCTTTCCATTTATTCCTATTCAAGGCTCGAGCCCCTTTTCAGCTCGTCTGAGCTCCTCCTCACCCTACCCTTGGGCCCGGTCCCCTTCAACTCTCTTCACAACCACCCCCTTCCGCTCTCTTCTTCCCCAGTCACTGAGTTTGTGGTGGTGGGAGAGCCCTGGTCCTTGCATTTGAGCCCCAGCTTCTCCCCTGACCTGCGACGTGGCTTTTGGACAAGTTATTTCATCCTCTTTGAGCCTCAGGTTTTGTATGTATAAAATGGAGAGAGTCATAACTATGTAGTAGCGTTGCTTGGGCACTATGTCAACTAGTGGGTGTGAAAGTTGATTTGAAGGTGCAGATGTTGGGAAATGTTGGGAATTCTAACATGGGATGGACCCCTAGAGTCTTCCTGTCCCCCTGGCTCGGCGTATTTGTGGGGAACCGGCGGCCCAGAGGGCGGAAAGGACTTACCCAAAGTCACTCAACCAGTAAGAGCTGGGGTTAGAACTGAGGTCTCCTGGCTCTCAGCTCAACATTTTCCTCCATCGTTTGGCTTTCTAATGAGGCTCCTAGTGAGAGGTAGTAGAGCTGCTCTGTTCAGTATTGTAGCCACATATGGCTATTGAGTCCTTGAAATGGGACTAGCCTGAATTGAGAAGTACTGTGAATGTAAAATCACGCCGGGTTTTGGAGATTCAGTATGAAAGGAGTAAAGTTTTTGTATTGACTTCAAGATCATAGTAATCTTATTAATGACGTTGATTATAGATCATGCTGATTAAGAGATCATTATGGATAATGGATGAAACACAAAATATTTAAAATAAATTTTACCTGTTTCTGTATACTTTAAAAAATTTATTGATTTCAGAGAGAGGAAGGGAGAGGGAGAGAGAAAAATCCAATGATAAGAGAGAATCATGGGATCAGCTGCCTCCTGCACACCCTCTACTGGGGATTGAGCCCACAACCCAGACATGTGCCCTGCCTGGGAATCGAACCCTGACCTCCTGGTTCATGGGTTGATGCTCAACCACTGAGTCACACCAGCTGGGATCTGTCTACCTTTTTTTTTTTTAATATATTTTTATTGACTTCAGAGAGGGAGAGGTATAGAGAGATAGAAACATCAATGATGAGAGAGACCATTGACTGAGCCCTCCCTCCGCCTCCCCCGCATGCCGCACACTGGGGACGGAGCCCGCAGCCCCTACCAGAACCAAACTGAGACCTCCTAGTTCACAGGTTGAGGCTCAATCACTGAGCCACACCAGCTTGGCTTGGTTTACTTTTTAATGTAGCTACTCACCTTTTAATTTGGCTACTAAAATAACACATATAGCTAGCCTCATATTTGTACTGGACCAGCTCTGCAGTATAAAGAATAGGTAATTGAGAGTCATGAGTCTGGAGCCCCATGTTGCCTGGAATCTGTTTGGTTCACAACAGATTCCAGGCATTTTGTTCAAGATGTAACCTTGAACAAAATGCTTAACCTGTTTATGCCTTGGTTTCCTCATCTGTAAATGGGGGGTGGGGGCAATGTTGATATCTATCACATAGGTCTCTTGTGAAGCTTAGACCCATGCTTGTCAAATGGTAAACATTCAATAAATGTTAGCAATTATATTCGTGCCACCACCTCAGCCACTATACAAAGTACTGACCTTAGAAACTAGACAGGACTTATAAAATGGGGAGAGATAAAGCCAAAAGGTTTCTCTTTTTAAGATAGTAATTGAAAGAAGGAAGGAAATAGGAGTGCTGTTGAATGAGTATTTCTGTTTGAAATGAATAAAACTAAAAAAAAAAAAAAAGACCGTACCCTTTTATGTAATGATGTTTACTTTGAATTTATATTAGTTCACACAAACACTCCATCCATGCTTTTGTTCCGGCCCTCCGGTCCAGTTTAAGAACCCATGGTGGCCCTCGAGTCAAAAAGTTTGTGCACCCCTGGGCTAGACATTGACTCATGGAATATTAAAGCTAGAAGAGGTTCATTCATTTGCTCAACAAATAATATTGAACCAAACAGACAAGGTTCTTGCTTTTGTGGAGCTTATAGTCTGGTGGGCAAGTAACAAAATAAGTGAGTAAATAAAAATTCAGATTGTGATAAGTGCTTTGAAGAGTATGAGATAATACTAAAGAACTGTGCTCTTTAGTATGGTAGCCTTTGGGCACATGTGACAGTCAACACTTGAAATGTGGATAGTTGAAATTGGGATATAATATATGTGTAAAATACACACTGTATTTCCAATATTTAGTATGAAAAAAATGAATGAAATATACATTAATAATTTTTATATTGATTACATGTTGGAATGATAATACTTAGTATATATTGGCTTAAAGAAAATATGTTATTAAAATTAATGTCACCTTAAAAACTTAATGTGGCTATTAGAAAATTTAAAGTTATATATTTGGCTTTTAGTGGCTTTCAGAATATTTTTATTGGACACTGCTAAAGAAAGTAACCTCTGGAAGCAGGAGAAGGACCTATTATTTTAGACTAGGGGCCCAGTGCACAAATTAGTGCACCTTGAAAGGAACTGTGGGCCGCGAGGTTGCGGGTAGGCACAGGGCAGGTCTCGGCCCATCCTTTGTGCCCCTGCCCGGCCCCTCTGCTGCGGTCCCGGTCCCCTGTCTGCCAGCAGCCCCGCTCCCACTGCCTGACAGCGCTGGCTCCACTCACACCCACTGACGGCGTGGAGCGATTGGGGCCAGCGCCAGCAGCGGGTGCGAGCAGCAGCTGCTGCCCGAATCACCCCTCAGGAGCAAGGGGAGGTGGAGAAGTCCTCAGGGGCGGAAAGGGCCAGCAGCTACCGCTCGACCTGCTGACAGCACAGAGCGAACGGGTCCCAATGACAGCGACCAGTGCCCTGCCTTGGTCTGGCACCCCTGCTCACCTTCTCCACCATCCCTCCGCAGCTGACACCCGCCATGTTCCGTGCACGCACCCTGGTGGTCAGTGCACGTCATAGTTGGTTGGTTGGTGGTTCGGTTGTTCCGCTATTCAGCCTATTTGCTTATTAGGGATATATAGAGTCCGGGAAGGACTCTCTGCGAAATGGACATTAAAGAACTGAAGGCTGAGAAGGAGCCCATCTTGTGGAAAGGTCAGAATGATCATGACAGAGGGAACAGCAACTACATAGGCTATGAGGTATAAGCTGGTGCAGCCGGTTAGAGGATCAAAAAGAGCTTCGATGATGAGTGAGCAGGAGAATGGCAGGAGATGAGGCTGGAGTTGTAGGCAGATGATGGGAGGTGTTGGAAAATGTGGGCCTTTCTGTGGGCCATGATAAGGAGTTTAAATTTCATTTTGAGAGATGTTATAGATAATCTCATTCAAGCGACTTGTTTGCAGATGAAAAGTGAACACATTTTGGTAAAGGGACTTCCCTGAGGTTATGGGCCAAGATAGTGGCTGAGTTGAAAGCAGAATCCTGATCTCTTTATTTCTGTCTCTGTTCATTCCCCACCTACACTATTCATGCATTTTCCTTTCTGAAAGATCAGTGTTCACTCCTGTTGCTAAAGGATAGTACTGTCTGGAATCTAATCTGTAACCATTCAAACGCACCATCCTTTTGTAGAAGTCATGAAGATCATCTGCAAGTTAATGGATACAGAAACTCTTTGAAAACAGTAGCGCTCTATAGATATGAAAGATGCCTATTTACCTATATCATCTCTCTAAATTCTTATAACAACCCTATGAGGAAGGTGCTCTTTTTAATCCCTGTTGCATAGATGAGGTACAAAAAGTTACCTATCTTATTGCTGAAGTTCCTAAACACTGTGCTGTACTACTTGTCTATTCTGTGCCAGATGCTGAGCTAAAGTGCTTTCAGATAAATTCTTACATTTAATTCTCAACATGCCTCTTGGCATACCTTTTGTTTTAATAGAAAAGGAAACTCAAGCTAGAGAGGCCAACCTACCTGAGCAAGGTTAAGAGCCAGTAAGGAGTAGAGGTAGAACTAAAACCTACTGAATACCCAAATCTAGTTTTCCATTTTCTTTTTAGCTTTTTAAAAACTTAAAAAAAACTGAAGTATGGCACACCTATAGAAGAATGCGTAAATTTTAAGTGTCACTGATTATAGTTATCAACTTTACCACTAAAGTTCATTTCTCAGGGACATGTGGGAACAAGATGTCTGATTTGAATATCCACACTGCCAGAGTTTGATTCAGTAAATCTCCCATGGGACCTTAAAATTTGCATTTCTAACAAGATCCCAGGTGATGTGAACCTATTGATCCAGGGACCACATTTGAGATCCCCTGGTCTAGAACGATCTACATTAAAACATTTTTTCTCCAGCTGAGACATTCTCCTCCCTTTTCATGGCCATTAGTTTGCAGTTTTTTTGAGCTTAAATTATACTTTTTCCCTGCCAGCCAAGATACTGAGAGCAATCACTTAATCTTCCTGGGCCTCAGTTTCCTCATATGCCTAATGAGGGGATTAAGTAAGTCTCTCTGAGGTCCCTTCTAGCTTTAAAATTCTGTGATACTAATTATTTAGACCAAGAGCTTTAGAGATTTCAAGGTATAAAAAAGCTTGATGTAGTAGAATGAAACGGCCGAAAATCTGGAAGATTTAAGTTTTAATCCTACCTTTATCATTACTTATCTGAGTGATTCAGGACAAGTCACTTCCCATCTCTGTGCATTAATTTTTTAAAATCTCATAAAATCACCTATAAAATGAGGGGAGTCAGCTATATAACTTCTGGCTCTTTCCTAAAATTTAGAGGCACGGGTAAGCAAAGAAAATATGTAATGTCAAGAAATGTTTATTAAAAGTAT